ACTGGGAGGCGGGTGGGGGGGGGGGGGGGGGGTCCTCGCACATTCATGAACGTGTGCGGGGGGAGAAGCTAGCCCATGTGCCATGTCGGGCCCCGGATATGGTGAAAAATATGCAAGGGGGGTCCTTGCACATTCATGGACGTGTGCAGGGGGCAAAGCTAGCCCATGATAGGAAAATTTGTCTAGGCAGTTGGAATGTAGGTTCTTTAACCAGTAAATCTATAGAGTTAGTAGATGTCATGCTGAGAAGAAGAATTAACATCTTATACTTACAGGAAACCAAGTTGACGAGAGAGAAGGCAAAAGAGATTGGAAACCTAGGACATAAGTTATGGTACATAGGTTGGGAAAGGAATCGCAATGGAGTTGGCATTCTAGTGGACAAAAACTTTAAAGGATGAAGTGGTTGAGATTAAGCAATTAGGTGATAGAATTATTATGATCAAATTAGTGTTAGGGGAGAAGTTCATTTATGTAATTAGTACTTATGCTCCACAAGTGGGATTGGATGAGGAAACTAAAACCAAGTTCTCGGAAGACATGGATGACTTAGTGCGTAGTACAGGTAATGAGGGTAGCATTTTTATTGGAGTAGATTTGAATGGACATGTTGGTAAGGATAGAGAAAATTTCGAGAGGATTCACGGTGGTTTTGGTTTTGGGGCTTGGAATGAAGAAGGGAAATCTATTTTGGAATTTGCATTGAGACATGACTTTGTTATAACCAACACATTCTTTAAGAAAATAGATTCACATTTAATCACTTTTAAGAATGGGAGGAACTCGAGCCAGATAGATTATTTTCTCACAAGGTACATAGATCGTTCTCTCTGTAAAGATTGTAAAGTAATTCCTGGAGAAGCGTTAGCCACTCAACATCGGTTAGTAACCCTGGATGTGAGCATTAGGCTTTACCATAGAAGAACTAAGATAAATCACCTCGCACGAACTCGTTGGTGGCATTTAAAGGGAATAAAGAAATTGGCTTTTAAGGAGAAGTTAAAGGAGGCTGCTTGGTCATGCGAAGGTGATGCAAATACTATGTGGGACACCGTTGCGAGTTGCATTCGAAAAGTGGCAAAGGAGGTACTAGGAGTATCTAGAGGTAAAGGCCCTCCAGGAAAGGAAACCTGGTGGTGGAGTGAGGAAGTTCAAAATGCTACTAGGACCAAGAGGGATTTATATAGAGAGCTACCAAAGTGTAAGGATGATGAGACTTTTATTAAGTACAAAGAAGCGAATAAGGAAGTTAAGAGAGTAGTTAATAAGGCTCGTGCAACTTATTTGGATGAGGTGTATAGGAAAATTGGGACTAGAGAATGAGAGAAGGATATTTATAAACTAGCTCGGATAAGAGAAAGGAAGTGTCGGGACCTAAATCAAGTGAGATGTGTTAAGGATGATA